TCTCGGCTCAGTGCAACCTCTACCTCCTGTGTTCAAGCGATTCTCATGCCTCAGCCTCCCAAGTAGCTGGGACTACAGGCATGCGCCACCACGCCCAGTCATGGTCGAGACCCTCCAGGGTCTCCTGTAGGCCTCTGACAGGCAGGGAGGAAGGGGGATGTGCAAACAGGAGGGTAGGAGTCTGGGAGGTTGGATTCTAGGCTTTTCTGCCCAGTTGAATGGGCCCTCAAATGAGTCCCACTCTGCCTGATTACCTATTGCTAATAACCCTTTAGATTATAGGAAACAGCTTTCACAAGCTTTATACCCAGTGCCGGGTGTGGTGGCTCATGCCTGTAATCCCAGCACTTTGGGAGGTTGAGGCGGGCGAATCACGTGAGGTCAGGAGTTCGAGACCAGCATGGCCAACATGGTGAAACTCCATCTCTACTAAAAATAAAAAAATTAGCCAGGAGTGGTGACATGCACCTGGCTCCCAGCTATTTGGGAGGCTGAGGCAGGAAAATCGCTTGAACCCCGGAGGCGGAGGTTGCAGAGAGTCAAGATAGTGCCTTGGCACTTTAGCCTGGGCAACAGAACAAGACTCCATCTCAAAAAAAAAAAAAAAAAAAAAGAAAAAGACAACAACTTTATACTACCCTTAAAGAATGAGGATGAGTTAGGCCGGGCGCGGTGGCTCAAGCCTGTAATCCCAGCACTTTGGGAGGCCGAGGCGGGTGGATCACGAGGTCAAGAGATCGAGACCATCCTGGTCAACATGGTGAAACCCCGTCTCTACTAAAAAAAATACAAAAACATTAGCTGGGCATGGTGGCACATGCCTGTAATCCCAGCGACTCAGGAGGCTGAGGCAGGAGAATTGCCTGAACCCAGGAGGCGGAGGTTGCGGTGAGCCGAGATTGCGCCATTGCACTCCAGCCTGGGTAACAAGAGTGAAACTCTGTCTCAAAAAAAAAAAAAAAAAAAAGAATGAGGATGAGTTAATGAGCATTTGCAGTTCTCTGAAATGAGAAATAAAACCTCTCTGTTTAAGGGGTTGTGGTAAGATTTTAAAAGTAATCTTCCACTCTTGTCACCTAGGGAGCAGGGATACTAAAATAGAGCTTAAGTTCCACCCCAGAACCAAAACTCACGTAGAGCCTCACAGTAATATCATATTGGATATTAGGGACCACAGAGCACTTTCTGTTTATCTCATTTGATTTTCACAGCAGCTGTGTGGGAAGAATCACTCACTTTGAGTGCTGAGAACACTGAGTGAGGCTCAGAGAGCTGGGGTCTCGTTCGCTGTTAGAATACATTCACACCTAGGCCTTCCCTGACTCTCATGCCTGCTTCTCTTTTTTTTTTAAGAGGCGGTTTCACCATGATGGCCAGGCTGGTCTTGAACTCCTGACCTCAGGTGATCCACCCACCTTGGCATCCCAAAGTGTTAGGATTACAGGCGTCAGCCACCACGCCTGAACTCATTCCTGCTTCCTTTGTCCTCGGGTCAGCCACAGTTGTGTTCTGAAATTCTCTGAGTCGTGAAGGGCCTTCGCCCTCTGTTGCCTTGAGAGAGCCTCCTCGGGTGGTATCTGCTCAGGGCTGGTGCACCCCAGCCAAGGGTGGCCAGGGCCTCTTTTACCACAGACTGTGTGTTCTGCTATTCAGGCATCTGCAGAACTCAAGTCACGCAGGAGCTTTTGTGATCGTGACGGAAGAAGCCATCGCCAAGGGTATCCGGAGGATTGTGGCTGTCACAGGTGCTGAAGCCCAGAAGGTGAGCAGGTTTGGCTGGTTTGTGGCTTATTTGAAGTTGGCAAGAGGAGCCCAGTCTGTGAATCCGTAGAGCAACAGTGCTCTGCGAGGAGGTTTCTGCAGTCAGTGTGAAAGTAGAGGCTGGGCCACGCCCCTGCCCCAGTGTCCTCCTCCAGTTACCCCTGCATGGCAGAAGAAAGCCACTCCCACACAAGATTCTTTAGCTTCCCTATGTTTAGTCTTTTAATCTGGCCATCTACCCCCTGCTGTCTCCATGTGGAGGAGGGGAAGATAGAGTCGCTGTGGCTTCAGGGCCCCCAGCGCTGATCTGTATACCCCTACGGGCATGCCTAGTCTGAAGCCATGCAGTAGAGGATGGATGGTCTGTCTTGGGAACTGGGGCTTATGTCTGACTGCTGCTGAAGCCCCAGGGGTGGCCACTCCTGGATTTAAAGGGGCTCCTGATGCTTGAGCTGAGTCTGAGTTGGGTATAGCCTTTGCCAGTGTGCATGTCAGCAGTATTCCTTGCTGGGGCTGCCAGCATCTGTTCCCCACAGCCACTTTTGGTGTGGTGGGATGTACTGCTGCCTGGCCTGCCGCTGGGGCTTCCTGCACTGCACCCACACCAGATAGTGAGGCTGACTCAGGCCTGCCTGGGGTTGACCTGGTGTCCCCTCCCAGGCCCTCAGGAAAGCAGAGAGCCTGAAGACATCTCTCTCTGTCATGGAAGCCAAAGTGAAGGCCCACACTGCTCCAAACAAGGATGTGCAGAGGGAGATCGCTGACCTTGGAGAGGTAGGGGCGGGCTCCCTATCTGTCTGTCCATCCCTCCCTCCCTCCCTCCCCAGGGCCTGATGCATGAGGCATGCCCTGTCTTAAGGAAATCTATAACTGGTCGGGCCGTGGTTCTTGATGGAATGGGCCTTTGTGCCAACTGTTACTGTCTGGCAGCCTTGTAGCAGGTACCCTATGGGTCCTGGCCTTTGACCCTGGATGCTGCCTGCTGCTCCCATTGCTGCTAGCAGGAGAGTTTCTTCCCCAGCATGTGTGGGCACTGGGGTGGATGGAGGTGGGGGAGGAGCTGAAGCCGCCCTCTGCTTCCTAGCCTACCTCGCGTTTATTCACATTTCAGGCTGCGAGGAAGCCCATCACAGGCTGTTCCCAACCTGGTAAGGAGCAGGCTTGACTTGAGAGCCCGGCTCTCTACTGCTCCTTTCTCTATAGGCCTGCTTGTTTCACCTGCCACAACTGCTCCTGAAGGGACTGATCTCAAAGCCTGAAGACACCTTTGTGTTTTCTCTCTCCTTTCCAGAACACTAGTCAGGGAGGACTTGGGTTTAGGCAGGGTTGAGGGGGCTGAACCCTGACATCCCAGCAATTTGTGGCCCAGATTCATATGGTCTTCGGGTTCTAGGTGCTGGCCACCGCAGTTGTCCCCCAGTGGCAGAAGGACGAATTGCGGGAGACTCTCAAATCCCTAAAGAAGGTCATGGATGACCTGGACCGCGCCAGCAAAGCTGATGTCCAGAAGCGAGTGAGTCCTGGCAGTGCCAGTGGCCAGAGCGGTTCCTAGGCAAAGGCTAGCAGGATTGGGCCTGGGTTTCAGAGCCTGCTGTTTTTCTGGACTTTTTTCTTGCAGGTATTGGAGAAGACAAAGCAGCTTATTGACAGCAACCCCAACCAGCCCCTTGTCATCCTGGAAATGGAGAGTGGGGCCTCAGCCAAGGTAACCTAGGGACCGGGGCCCTTACCCTGGGGTTCAGCAGCCCTCTGGGCGGCTGATACGTGGCCTCTGTTGCTCTTAGCCAAGGGGTTGCCTAAGGGCCCCGTCTGGGATTTAGGTTGGACTGAGTGTGGAGTGATCTGGCTCTGGGTGGGAAGAGGAACAGCTCCCTGCATGTGTGGGGCATGCTTGGGCCAGGTGTGGGCTGGGCCCGGTGCTGGGGTCTTCCACCTAGGCCGAGACAGCATCTGCTCTGGGAAAGGGCGGGGGTGTGTGGCAGTCTTGCTGTGGACTGCAGACTCTCACCTGAGTGGAGAACAGGGTTCCTGCTCCAGCACCGTGGCCTGAGCCATCTCTTCCCCCCAGGCTCTGAATGAAGCTTTGAAGCTCTTCAAGATGCACTCCCCTCAGACGTCTGCCATGCTCTTCACTGTGGACAATGAGGCTGGCAAAATCACGTGTCTGTGTCAAGTCCCCCAGGTCAGAACTGCCTACGACCTCTCACACCAGGGGGCAGTGTGGGTCTTAAGCTTATTTCCTGAGACCTGTGTGTGTACAATCAGCATTTGAAACTGGGCACCTGGTGCCCTTTACCCAGGCCTTCTCATTGGTGAAGATGTCTATCTGGTTGATACTTGGCTTTGCTACTCTGTCCTTTCCTGGCTGCCCCCTTTACCAGCCGTTAAGTGTGTCAGCTGCCAGCAGCATCCCCCCTGGGCTGGAGTGGGGGGGGATTCCTCCATTCCTCACTCATTTATCTTCTGTCCTAACTTCCCTTCCCTTCTTATCTTCCAGAATGCAGCCAACAGGGGCCTAAAAGCCAGCGAGTGGGTGCAGCAGGTATCAGGCCTGATGGATGGCAAAGGTGGTGGCAAGGATGTGTCTGCACAGGCCACAGGCAAGAACATTGGTTGCCTCCAGGAGGCGCTGCAGCTGGCCACTTCCTTTGCCCAGCTGCGCCTCAGGGATGTGAAGAACTGAGGTGGGGAAGGAGTTTGGCACTGGATCCATAGGTCCAGCCAGGAGTTTCTCCTCTGCTATAAGAACATTGGAATCTTGGGACCTTTAAAGAGCTCCCACCATCCTCCTACCATCCCGCACTAACTGGCAGAGGTCCTGTGACTCAGTGCTCCTTATATATCTGCCCTGAGCCCTCCACGTCAATGCCATCTGTCTAGAACCACTACCCCAGCATTGCTGTTGTACATCGACACACATCTAGAGTGGACAGCTCTCCCGACCGGAGCTGTCTGGGTCAGCAAATGGGAATCATTTTTGCTGCAGAGAATAAAGGACCATGTGCAATAATTGATGCCGCATGATCTCTACCCATTCCCAATGGGGGCTTGCCGTTTCCACAGCCCGACCCCTGCTGTCTACAATAAATGCTGTGACCCCTGGTGGCTGCTGTATTCACTGTGTCCAGCCCCAGAGCCCTGAATTTTGGGAGTAGCCCCTGGGGTTGCCTCAAACGTTTGTGGCGATGGAAGCCAAATAGGTGAGGTGACATAGAGGGAGGTGTTCATAATGCAATAGAAAATGAGGGGTGGAATTACGGGAAGCAGCGAAGCCTTTCTTGTAACTGCTCCCCCGCCCCCAGCTGGATGGATGAATGCCACCAGCCCTGCACTAGCGGCAACCAGGGCGTTGAGGACGCCGGCCGTTCTCCCTCCGGGCCTTCAGGGGGTGCTATAGCGAAGCCCGCTGCTTCCCCCAGCATCCTTCGCGCAGGAGCTTTAAGCAGCGGAAGAGCTGGTGTGCGCGGTGGGGCAGTGGGCGGAAGCGGGTTGCAGGCTAGGTGCCGCCATGCCTGGGGACCACCGCCGCATACGCGGCCCGGAGGAATCGCAGCCACCCCAGCTCTACGCGGCCGACGAAGAGGAAGCGCCCGCCGCCCGCGACCCGACGCGGCTGCGACCCGTGTACGCTCGCGCGGGGTTGCTGAGCCAAGCCAAGGGCTCGGCCTACCTGGAGGCAGGAGGCACCAAGGTGTTGTGCGCTGTGTCGGGCCCGCGCCAGGCCGAGGGCGGCGGCGGCGGCGGCCCGGCCGGAGCGGGTGGCGAGGCCCCGGCCGCGCTGCGTGGCCGACTGCTTTGTGACTTCCGCCGCGCCCCCTTCGCGGGGCGCCGGCGCCGCGCTCCCCCAGGCGGCGGTGAGGAGCGTGAGCTGGCGCTGGCGCTGCAGGAGGCGCTGGAGCCGGCCGTGCGCCTGGGCCGGTACCCGCGTGCACAGCTCGAGGTGTCCGCGCTGCTGCTGGAGGACGGCGGCTCAGCCCTGGCCGCCGCGCTCACCGCCGCTGCGCTCGCCCTGGCCGACGCGGGCGTGGAGATGTACGACCTGGTGGTGGGCTGCGGCCTGAGCCTCGCTCCCGGGCCCGCGCCCACCTGGCTACTGGACCCCACGCGGCTCGAAGAGGAGCGCGCCGCCGCCGGTCTCACCGTGGCGCTCATGCCCGTGCTGAATCAGGTGGCCGGGCTGCTGGGCAGCGGGGAGGGCGGCCTGACCGAGAGCTGGGCGGAGGCCGTACGCCTTGGCCTCGAGGGCTGCCAGCGCCTCTATCCCGTGCTGCAGCAGTGCCTGGTGCGGGCCGCCCGTCGCAGGGGCGCCGCCGCCCCGCCCTGAACCGGGAGCCTGAGCAACGACGGACGCCACGCACCTGCATCGAGATAAGCAGCCGGAGCCCCGGAGAGCACGTGGAGAGGCCGGAACAGAGCCGAGGCGCCAGACAGCTGTGGTAGTGGAAGGCCTTTTTACAAACCTCATTAAAGGAACCTTTCTCCTTCAGCCGGCTCAGCTGCGACCCAGTTGAGGAAACCTGTGAGCGCAGCCTGACTTCCAAGTTGGAAACGACTTCAGTAGGACTTACCTGAAAGCTGGTATCTGGGAGCTGTAGTCATTTAAGGGATAGACCCTTTGCACGGCCAGCCAGAGACTCCCTCCGACGTAACTGGGCGACTTTTGAGAGGTTGGACAAGAGGGCTGTGCCTTCTCACTTACCGTGTCTGAGCCAAAAGAAAAACACTTTTATATCTGAAAAACGTCTTCTGTTGTGATTCTTCTTGGTCCAGGATTTTAGAGAGCACGGCTCCTTTGTTCTTACATCCCAGGTGGCAAGGGGTTGTGACCGAACTGCCTTTAAAGGGTCCCGTTCCTTAGACCAACGAGAACAGGACAGATAGGCTGCAAAGAACAGCTGCAGGGCTGGATGTGGGCGCTGTGCTTTATAGAAGGAGAATCTGTCCCCACACGAACCAGAGCCAGGACAGCTGCTGAGATGTGACAAAAGTAGGAAGAATTGTATGGCCCCACAGGTGCGCTGAGTGCGCCCCAGCCCCCGACCCTGGTTTGGTGCTGGGCAAGACCCAACTCGGGGCTGGGTAACTGGAACGGGTTTTGCTCTGGGTGGAAGCCAGATCTATCCTTGGCCATGTGGAGAACGGCACAACCAGACGCCTCCACTGCCGGTGGGAAGTGGGGTCTTGGGCGTCTTCACGTGGTGCCTTGGTCCTAGGAGGAAAACGCTGAGCAGCGCCTGGAGAGGGCAGGTGAACTGCCAGGAAAGCCAGGTACGGCCTGGCTGCTCCATAGGACAGAGACGGCCTGCCTTACCATGAGGGTGGGGTCTTTCCTGTGTGGCTGCCAGCTCTGCCGGTTTCGTCTCAGGGCTGCTCTGGAGGCAGCCAGGTGACTGCCATTGAGAAGGCAGGGCAGCCTGGTCCAGTCTCTGCACTCGGCCTCTCAGGGAAGGGCCGGTGCCAGGCAGCCCAGGGACCAGAATGAGTTTCTGGAGCCACACCAAGAAGCCTTGACCAGGAAAAAGATTTATGAATTTTATTTTTTCTCTTTTGACTTACCTTTCTAGAGCAGGTCTGAAATGGCATCACACCAGTGGAGACAGGTCATGTTATTCTGAAAGATGGCTTCAGAGAGTGGATGGCGAGTCTGGTGCCCCAAGAGGGTGGTTTGCGGTGCATGCCGAGGACCTTCCAGCTGTTTCGGGCAGGGAGGGAGAGTGGGATCCCAGGGAAATCTGTTGGCGCATCCGGAGGGACGTGAAGCGCAGCCGTGGCTGTGTCTGCACTCAGGACTGAGGGTTGCCCCCGAGTGCTGGGGTAGGGTGGGGGTGGGCTGTCAGCTGTCCCTTGGAAGACAGTCTCAGCTTCATGAGGATGGCAACCTGGTACAGTCCCAGGCCACCTCCCTCCTAATCCTGTCAGTCGCAGGGCTGTCATGAAATGCAACCTCTTAAGAAGCTAAACCTTCTGCGACAGTGAAGCCTTCTGCTTTTCTGGCCAAGCCCTGTGTTCTATTGACCCAGCTCCAGAACGGGTATCTCAGGTTGCATGGGTGCTACCAGGAGGCCTTCACAACCTAGGCAAGGCAAGGAAGGGAGTTACCCCAGAATGCCTGGAGCTGATGAGCCTGGAGGAGATCCTGCTGCATCTTGGCTGTCCTGGTCCTATGCGTGGTCCTCCACCTGTAGGGAAAATAGAAGCAGGACATTGGCGGAGAGGCTGGAGGCATGGGAGGCTAGGAAAGGAGGGGCCACCAGCTCATATCTAGTCTCCCTGCACCCCACTTTCCATTTCCCCAGAGCTTGGGCAGCTCAGGGCTACTCTAGATTCTACCTCAAGATCTAGGAACTCAGAACCACCTGGCAAAAGAATGAATTTGTCTCCATGTAGCCCATTCAGATGATACAGGTGTGACTCGGGCCCTGGGCAGCAGTGAGAGCCCTCCCGAGCCCAGCAGACCAAGAACAGAGCTGTGTGGGTGGATGGGGGAGGGCTCCAGCCACAGTGTGGGCCAGGCATGGCCTGCCTCAGACCACCGAGAGTGGAGGTGATGGAAGAGCAGGGAATGTTCGGACCCTCTAATTTCACACACAGGGCTGTTACCGGTTCCAGGAAGGTCTGTGTGCCACAGCTTCTCTGAGGGGCATGGCCCATGGGACAGCTGGAGACCCAGCAACGGCAGCTGGAGATGGGGCCTGGAAGAGGGGCTTGGGTTTTCACAAGCTTACCAGCCAGGCCTCACGCAAGGGCTCTGGGGCCTTGGGGCACACCTGTGACATTCCCTCTACAGTCCTCCTACCCGTCCACCCAGTGCCTTCCAGGAGAAGGTATTTCAGCACAGAACCAACCCTGGCATAGACGAGCCCTGCAAGCCTGGAATTGGGAGACAGAAAACAGAGGGCCAGGCCCAGCCTACTGAACATGGCTCTGTGGCAGGGGCACACACCTCCCCCACTTAACCACTGCGGGCTGCAGCTATGACCATGGGTCCTCCCTTGCTCACAGCGGGGCCACAAGCAACAAAACACATGTAGGGTGGAGATGGGGAAGCAGGGCCAGGCCACTCACTGTCCGCCCCATGTCTGTGCTGCCCTCAGAGCCATCTGCCCAGGAACTGGCCCTCTGGCTCTGGGGCTTCTTCGAGGACTCAGAGCTGCAAGAGGAACCCTTGCAGCCAGGACCCCGTTCTTTCCACTGTCCTTTGTGGCTGTGCAGAGAGTCATCAGTCAGTGGCTGGGTTTGGAGGCCACAGCTGACCCTAGAGAGGCCACCTGATGCCCAGCAATGACCTAGGGCCTCTATGACTTGAGAGGGCAACAGGTGGAAGGGCTGGGACATGTGGCTCTAGCTCCAGGTGGTTGCTGAGTGGGTGGGGGCAACCTAGAAGCCATAAGAGTCCTTGAGCTTCAAGAACAGCCCAGGAATGAGAAGTGAGGAGCACACTCCAAGGAGGGGGGCCCTGAAGACTGGGAAAGGCCCAGGCAGGGCCCCGGGGGCTGGGCATCTTCAGGAGTGGGGAAAGCTGGGCTTGCACAGCGTGTGGGGATCAGACCTGTGAGTGGGCCCCTCTGCCGGACCATGCGCTCCAGGCTCTGCAGCAGGCTGTCCACCTGGGCTTTGATCTGCCGCAGCTCCCCCTGGATGGCATGAAGCTCCTTGGTCCAGACTGTGGGGACAGGGGCTGGGGTCAGTACCCAAGCTGGGCCCTGGGCCTGCCCTGACAGCTGGCGTGGCATCCCGGATGCTCCCTCATGCTGCAGGTGCGGCTGTGGCCCCCACTCCCACTTTTTCTGCCCAGAAAGCAGGGGGCTGTTCCTGGAGGCCCTGTGAGGACTGAAGCCGCTCCTGACCCCCAGTCTCCGGATCTGGACCCTCTGCATCTTCGCAGGCCCGTGGCTGATGAGTGGGGGGATCCTCTGGTATTCATAGCCCCTGGGGACATGACAGAGAGGGCATCAGGCTAGCCAGCCCCACCAGCTCACTTGGAGGACACAGGGGCAGGCCTTGCCCACCTGCAGGGAACGTCATTTCTGCACAGCTTGTAGTTCAAGTGGTAGCTACTGCCGCTGCCACAGCGAAGGAAACAAATGGGTCACTGACCACGGACGGGGCTCTGCCAGGTGCCCAGATGAATGTGGAAAACTGAAGTTCACAACTGTTTCTTACAACGCCAGCCTTCCTCACGCCAAGAGCCCCTGGAGACTTGCCCAAGGTCACTTTGGGAGACCACAGCAAACCAGCTTCCCCAGTCAGCCTCTGATAAGGGGTCTTACGAGAGGCCAGGTGGCAGGGGGGACACGACGCCGTACAGGCTTCTGGCAGCCAGAGCCCAGCCCCCCTTAAGGCTTCTTTGTGAAGCCGGGCACTGCTGGTGCCCAGAGGCTTTGTCTGGCAAAAGATGAAAGGGAAGACATATGTCAGAGCCAAAGCCCGGTAGCACACAGGAGAGCCTTCAGTCCTTGCATGGGAATCACCAGGGCCAGCAGGCAGGCCTAGGGACAGGGCATCGGCCAGGCCACCTTGGCTGTTGCTCCAGGCCCTGGGAGAGAAGACAGGCCTAACCACCCAGGCTCACAAAAGTGGGGCTCCCCGATTCTCACACCAAGCACCCCAGGGCACCTGTGCTGGGAGGGGTTGAGGGAGCGTGCAAAGGGACAGCTGGGTCCCAGCCCAGGCAGGAAGCTCTGGGGATTCCATGGCAGAAGCTTCAGGCCCTTCCTGTGTCTGGGGCTGGGGCAGGCCCTGAGTTGGGGAAAAGGGAGGGGACACACAGTGGGGGTGGTGTAAAGTTCTGAAACAACTTTCTGGTCCTGACGCCCTTGCCCCCAGCTCAAGGCCAGCACACCAGGGGCGGGATGGAGGACATCCTGGGCCACTCCCCACTCCCACCCCTGCTTTCTGGCTTCAGGAGGTTTGGGTGGGCAGCCTGGGAAGCTTCTGATTGTGGTCAGGAGAGGGAGGCAAGCCCGTTCCCCATGGCAAGGTGGGTCTGGCCTTGGGGTAGGTGAATAGGGACCGCTCCCCCCAAGGCCAGGAAGGACCAAGCATCGAGGGCTGGGGCCGAGACAGCACTGGAGATGAGGACCTCCAAGCAGGACCGCCAAGAAAAGTGCCCTTAACCAGGCCAAGCAGTCCCCTCCCTGTGGCTAAACACAGACCAGGCTGGGTGGGGTTGGGCCTGTGACCACCTGGGCCATAGTGGTGATGCCATGCTCATCAAGGCGTTGGTGGTTCAGTGGTAGACTTCTTGCCTGCCATGCAGGAGGCCTGGGTTCCATTCCTGGCCAATGTAAAGGTGAGGTTTCCTTTTCTCCCCAACTATATTCTTTACCTCATTTCTGTTCCCCAAAATGCCTATTTTCAGTGCTTTTTGGGCTTTTTTCCATTTCCCAAAAAGCCTGTTGTCAGCATTTTTTGGTTTTCGGTTTTTTTTTTTTCTTTTTTGTTTTTTTTTTAAGATGGAGTCTCCCTCTGTCACCCAGGGTGGAGTACAGTGGAGTGACCTCAGCTCACTGCAACCTCCGCCTCCTGGGTTCAAGCGATTCTCCTGCCTCAGCCTCCCGAGTAGCTGAGATTACAGGCACATACCACCACACCCAGCTAATTTTTGTATTTTTAGTAGAGATGGGGTTTCACCATGTTGGCCAGGCTGGTCTTGTTCTCCTGACCTCATGATCCACCTGCCTTGGCCTCCCAAAGTGCTGGGATTACAGGTGTGAGCCACCATGCCAGGGCTTTTTTTT